ATTTTCCTATTTTTTTAAGAGAAAACCTTTCGTAAAAATTTAGGGCATATCAATGTCGGCTTTTTCCTCCAATTTTCTTTATCCTTTCCTGTTTTTTTTTTGGGCTTTTTTTTTTAAGACGAGGCAGCATCTGGCGTCTGCTTGCTTTCGTCCTTGCCCTTCCCCAGGACTACTCTCTATTGTCCTTTGTTGCCGCGTTATGAGCGAGTTAATTATGGTGTCTGATATTTTCCTTAAACTCCTTTTCCCTCAAGCGCAAAATAAAATTATTAAAAAAATATCATAAAGAAATATCTGAATTTTTCCAACAAAAATCATGACTCATGGCCGTCTGGTGGAAAAATCCAGAAAAGTTTTCCATCTCGTTTATGAAACTACTTTTAGTTTTTCCTCTGCGATGGCTAGCCAAAACTGGCTGGGTTCTGGCTTCATCATTAATATTTAAGCGGCGTCGATTCAATCGATCCACATAAAATGAGCAAAAGTTGCCACAAACTGAGTGGAGGGGATTCTGGACATTGCCACTGGGTGGAACTATTTATTTTTGGCCCCAAATCAAGTGTGAGGCTGATGGACAGGAAGGGCTTTGGCCCAAAAAGGACAGCATCAAGTCAAATTGAAGTTGAGTTGAGCTTTTGGCTCGTCTTTTCGATTTAATGAGCGAAAAGTAATTACTTAATTAGTTTTGTGTACTACTGCCTCATGGTGCATGCCTCATGCCCCATGCCTCATGCCGCATGCCCCATTAGAGCAGCTTAGCCCGAAACGCATTTAAACTTGATTAGTTTTATGGGCGAAAGGAGCAGGACCTCGGATATTGTCGCCGCAGGCAAATCAAAATCCCATCAATGACTGGTCGCCATATTGATTTGTCGCCAGGACTCGCAGGCAAGTCCTTTCGATAAATATAAAACATTATGACCGAATAAAAATTGTGTGTGTCGGTGTTGCCTACTTTTGGGGGCATGTTGTTTTTTATGTCCCAGTTTAGAGTACAGATGCAGATACAAAGATACACAGATACAGTGACTGCCGGTGAAATATGTAAAATATTTAAATAAAAAAAAAAAGGATATCGGTAGTCTAAAGACTTTTAAATACTCTTTTTTTATAATATTTTATATGTTTTTTAATTAAAAGCTAGGCCTAAATATAAAAGAGCAACTACAGTATTTTTTGATTATTTTGAAGAATTTTCTTTTAGAATTAAGGTAATATATGTATTTTTTTTTCGTTTAAGTCATCTACAACCTCATATTTTCCAATAAAATCCTCTTGTTTATAATACCTTCAAGGCAAGAGTATCTTAAGTATTTTTGACCATAAATATACTTTTGCATACTTTTCCAGTTGGTGGCATAAAACTCAAGTTTCTGTCATAAACACCGCAGAAATGAAGGCCGCAACACCTGCGACTCCTAAAATGTCGTCGTCGGGCCACAACAAATCAAAAACATGCGACTACATGGGTAAAAAAAAATATAAGAAAAGAAAAAGGGGGGAGTGCTGGGATTTGAAGATGTTTTCGGAGTTATGTCTAGTAAATAAATAAAAGCAATAAGCAGCCAAACAGACAGGGCGACGGAAGACAACAGACGGCAGGCAGACGCGCCACCAGACGCGGCATCGTAAGTAGGTGAGCGCCATGCCACCACCCCCCAAACTGTCTGTCCAGGTCTATGGTTTGGTCAGGAATTCAAGAAATTTAAGATATGGCGGGTTGGAAAATATAAAATTTATTTATGAAGTTAGATATATTTAAATATTAAACTTTAACTATAAGATAGCCGATACTTTTGGTTTTATTTTCCAATAAAGGTTATCTTTTCAAAAAAATATATAAATTATGAAATGATATATTTGTAAAATATTTTATGATATCTTATAAATTAATTACCCTTTTAGACATTCTACTGGATACTTCTCACCGTGTCACACACTTAAAAATAAAACCCAACATCTCCCAGGACTCTTGAGAGGTGGCTGGGAGGCTAAAAAGTAATGGCCGGGAGTCTGAGTGGATTACAAGTTCGCAACAAGACTCTAAAGAGATCTATGTACTTGTACCTCTGTCCTCTGTACCTCTCCTCCCCCCAGAAAGGTAAAAACGACTGAAAAACAACAGTTGAAATTCCCATGGTGCTAACTTTATTCTATTACGAATGCCAAGACCAAGAACAAGAAGTCCTGGATATAGCGATATTAGCGGGGGAAATGGCGGAGAAAGGCGCCAAACAATTGAAAGTGAGAAGGTTGCAGATTTTTGGAGGCTGTGGTTTTCCAACAAAAGGTTGTCCTCTTTTTTTTTTTGGCCAAGTTTGGTTTGGCGGTAGAGCAGCTGAGGCTGTGGCTGAGGCTTCTTCAACCTAAGACAGCGCCGCATTTATGGCATTGGGATTTGGCGGAGCTTAGGAGTTCTGCGCCAAGGAATTAGCTTGGCAGCCATTAAAATGATTTAAATTAGTTGGGGAATAGGGCAGGGAGGTGGCTTGTATGCAAATTCGGTCTTAAATGTGGCCAAGACGCAATCAACTTGGCTAAACACAAACAACAGCTGCCGCTGGGGAGTTCAATTCTCAGGCGTCATCAAGGGGGTTAAAAGTTAAGTTGCTTCTAATCAAAAATATTAATGGAAGGGGCTTTTCAATAAAGAGTATTAAATATTTATATTTTATAAAGTTTTTCTCTAAAAAAGTGTGACCTTTAGTTATATAAGAACGTTCCAGTGTGGCTTTACTTTAGCTTAGTAAATACCCTAAACCCTTACCAATAGTTTGGCGTTTGGCATTTTTTTCTTTCATAATAATAATCAACTTTAATGTTTCTTGCAGGACTTGCCCTTAATTTTCCTTTATAATCTCGATGAGATCCTTCTGCCAGGACGGAAGTATAATAATTGCTAGAACAATGAGCAGCGGAAGCCTTGGCTAATAGAAAATGCAAACAACATATTAAACAATTAAACGGAAATTAGCACAAAATATTCACGCACACAGGACGACTCTGGTCGAGTCCTTGCGCCAGATCCGCCCAAGGATAACCGGATACTCTGGTTCATTAATAAACGGACTTTTCACAACCAGACAGATTGAAAGTGAACGGAAATGAATGCAGTGGCTCGCAATGAATGTATGAAAATACTATGCCAGGACTGTTAATGAACCTGACTAGGTCCTTGGCGGAGGACCTTTCGAGGACCTTCTTCGCTGAGGACCGGCAAGGGCTGTCAGGTAACAAGGAAAACAACTAAACGGAAACATCGAGCCGAAAACTGGAAATTGGGGAACTTAAATATGCAAGACAGCGCACGACTGGGCGCCAAATGTGCCACCCTGGGTATCCACCTCCTGCTGCCACATCCGGCAGGATTTTAGCCTCGGCAGGACCTCAAACCCCAGGCGTAACCTAAACGCCAGCTGTGACGACACAGACCAAGGATAGCTGACTTAAATTCGCACTTTCAAGAGACACTGAAAACAAAAACACAGTTTTAGAAGAATTTAAAAGTTGAGTTCTAAGTTTATTCATAGACTTTTTCAAATTTTTTCTACAATATATTTTTTTTCAGTGTCCACCACAACCACACCTCATTCTCATTGAAGTTTTGTAACATAAACTAGCAACACTTCTGCCTCATCATCCATACCCTAAAGCTTGACTTGAAACTCAGGGAAATTGATTTTATGCAACGCTCAGAAGACCAAGAATGGTGGCAAGGATACCGAGAAGGATGGCCAGGACCAAAACACTTTGTATGCTAAACCGCAAAAAGAGCAAAAAGAACAGAAAAATGCTAAGAAGGAGCCAAGTGACATAAATAAAATCCGTGACTATAAATCTAAAGGCATAAGCGGTTAAAGAGTCAGCCATGAGACGCGGCACGTAGTCCTTTTCCCCCATATCCTTTCTGCTATTGCCAGGAGCTACTTTTACCGCAAAATGCAGATAAATATGTAAATAGATACAACGCGGATTATGGTTTGGACAACAAAAGTGAAAAGTGTTGCGAGACAATGGATATGACTATCCCAGAAGAAATAAAAAACGATTCGATATAAGTTGGGGGTGTTGGAGAAAAAGGATTTCATTTATTCACAAAGGAATGGCTTCTTAGTGAGAGTTTGAGATTGATATTCGGAGAGAATTAGTCTTTGAAATAGCATTATTTAAATTAATTTATCTTGGGTGGTTAATTTTTAATGGGATTTTGGTGGTTAGAGCTAAGTGTATTACAGAAATACAACCAGAAGATGGTAAAACATTAAAGTTTCTAGAAATTTCTAGTGAAATCTATATTTTATGGCCAATTGTAAGACATCATTCGCCAAGTTAATTTCATGCAAAATACTCCTAACCAAAAGAATCCCTTACCTGTAACTTTCTGGATTTTTTTTTGTCCACCCACCACCCTTTTGTTTTTATATCCTTGAACAATAAAAGCGGATCAAAATCAATCGAAACCTGGCTGAGAAAGAAAATAAAACCCCTTTGGAGGGGGAGCTTTGAGAATGGCCTATAACTGAGGACCCTGGGCCATGGTAGACCCTGGTAGAGCCGCATTTTTATGACCCCGCAAGGGTCACATTAAAACGCATGTTAAGCAACACGCAAAAACAACACAGCCTAAAGGATAGAGGCTCAAGGATATCCGGATGCCAAGGGGGGCGGGCGGAAATGGGATTGCCTTTTTCGGGAGATGGGGTTTCGGGAACACATCCTTTTTCGCACGGTTTGGCTTTCGGTTGTGAATTCGGCTCGACTGGCATTTTAATAGACTGTTGACTATTCCCGGTGTTTACCCAGTGTCTGGTCTGAGGGACTGGCAGGACAACCCGCAAGGACATTTTTGCAGCAACACAGTAGTGGCTAAAAGTTGACAACATCCCTGCCGCATAAATTGGTTCACTGAATTTTAATTTTTTCGAGATTAGGTTTTGTAATTTGGGGTTTTTAAAACTACAAAAGATGAGTCCTTGTAAATGGTCCTTTAGAAGGTCTTCTTCATTAGCAAATACTCTTTATTTTCACAGAAATGTAAAATTTGTTTTTAATTCAACAATAAGCTTTCTTAATATTACTTTTTCTGTTTCTTAATTTCAAAAATTTGATGATGTCCTCCGTCATCTTCGATCCCAGATCGTATGATTTTCGCTCCTCCCGTAACCTTGACTTTATATTTTTGACCTTCGGTTGGTGCTTTAATCGATCCAAAGACCTCCTTGGTCATATCTTTTGGTACTTCGATAGTAGTCATCTTGGTTAGGCTCGATAATTTCAAACTGGTTGCCTTGGTCCACTCGAACAGATTTGTGGAGTGAGTGGGCAGATCTCGGATGAACTGGAAGCTACCTTTGACCCCCTGATTGTAGTAGGTTCGGGCCAGTTGGGCAACATCCATGTCGGCTACTTCGGTGGGGAGAAGACGTTGCCGGATCTGGGCACTTAATGGTTCCAGTTTTTGGCCAATTTTGCGGCACAAAAGATGCGTCTCCTCCGTTTGGCCCCAAATCCCGGCCCAACTGCTCATGTAAACGGTCATCGAGAGAGCCGCCGTTCGGGCCATTATATTGGTGAACATGGTTCTGTCTTCCAAAAAGGATATCCACGGATCTCTTTCCTTTTTTCCAAATTATAACTTTTTTGAATTTTAAAATAAATGACACAACCGGCAGGATAGTTTCCTGCTTATTATAATTTTTTCTCCAAAAACTAAACTAACAATTTTCTCAAAGTCTACTTTAAGAAAGCGCTCAATTCTTGAAAGTTTATTTCACACCAAAAAAAGAATAAAAACGAAGGGCCATAAAAAACGTATACACTATCGAGGGGGTGAAGCTCCAACACATCCTCAAAAAAAAACAAGTGAGTAAAAATCTAATCCATTACTCAAACCAAAAAAAAAAACCTGAAAAAATAATGGTATTGCCCGCCAAGTTGAAGGGGTTTCGACCGGAACCGGAAGCGGATGTGGAAAATGGTGTTGAGGCTTCTTTGGTGTAAATCTTTTGTAACATTTTGGGTGTCACCATCTGTTTTTTTTTTTTTTTGTGTTTGGTGGCTACGTGAAGGGAAATAAAAGTGCAATTTCAGAGCACACTTCACCAGTTGAATGTCATTTGGAAAAAGAAAAAGGTGAGCCAAAGGCGAGACGAATCCTTGAAAGGAACTTTGACATCCCATGAATGCTTTCCTAGTTCCTGGCAGTTTTTTTTTTATAATTTGAACAACTTTTGACCCAAATTCATTTGTCACACAATAGAGGCGACCAAGCAGCAAAAGGACCAGGGAGCAAGCACCAACCGGCCAACTTTCAATAAATAAATAATAGAGTGGCCAGTAAAGCAACAAAAAAAAAACAAAAGGTTACCCATGTCCTGGGTCCTTGGAGAATGTGTCCTTTCATTGGCAGAGCCATAAAGCCCTGAATGGATGAGTTCTGGGAAAAGGATGAGACTCCCACGGAATGAGGATAGAATTGTTCCATAACACGAACATGTTACTTGGCGAAAACCACAAATACGCATTATTTTTCGATAAAGAATCTACACAGAATGTTTTCTGCAAATTTTTCACATTTTTCTACAAATTAAAATTGTAAGCAATTATTTAAACGTTAATTTGAAAGTTTAAACTGTAACAGTGTGGCTGCATTTCTACTTTAAAAACTGGACTTTAAAACAAAGTGTGCCCAAAGATAAAAATATCAGAACATAAGCGTTAGGGGATTATTGCCTCATAATATTATTCTTCTTTGAAGACAGCACAACCAGAGGTCAGTTCTCCGGCTGAAGTCGGACAGATAGGTTCGACTTCGGAGAACTCACTTTTTTTTTAAATATTGGTATCTTATTTTATTTTTCCTATTTATTTTACCGATGGCCTTTAAAGGACTGATACATTCATGGGTGTAGCTGATTTTCTTCTTTATTTTATTGATATTTATTTTTTTTAATCCTAATTTTACCATCGTTATAATTCATCAGCGAAAGCTCCGGAAATAAGTTCCGGTTTTTTTTGTGACCATTTTTTTTGATATATCTCATTTTATTTTTCCTATTTTGTGTTATCCACGGGCTTATTAGGTCTGATGTAGCTGATTGCACTGGTGTAGCTGATTTTCTTCTTTATTTTACTGATATTTATTTTTTTAATCCTAATTTTTCCATCGTTATAATTCATTAGCGAAAGCTCCGGAATAAGTTCAGTTTTTTTTGTGACCATTTTTTTTTTGTTATATTTTATTTAATTTTTCCTATTTTGTGTTATCCACGGGGTTTACATACACGGTTGTAGCTGATTTTCTTCTTTATTTTACTGATATTTATTTTTTTATCCTAATTTTACCATTGTTCTATGGTCTCGACGTTCATGAGCGAGAGTTCTGGAAATGGAAATAAGTTAGGTTTTTTTTTTGTGACCAGACTAAGAAAAATGTTGCAAAATCCCACTAGATTTGGGATTTGGTAAAAAGCGCAAGTGTAATTAGTGTGGGGCTTAACGGGTCTAAGCCAACAGACACTGTCCGTGGGTTGGCTTTTCGACCAGCCCTGCCCAACCAAAAAAAAAAATGGAACTCGAGCCAGACCAGTTAGGCTTTGGAATTTTCCATTTTATTTCAACTTGAAAACAACTTTTTGCGGCTTCAGTGGCTCGTTCTCATTTGAAACTTCTTCTTTTCTTATTTTTTTGTATTTCAAATATTTTTCTGGGTTCTGATTTTATTTTATTTTCATTCAAAATTGAGTTTCTTTTATTAAATCGCGGATTTTCTTTCGTACTTAATGGAGCATGAAATGCCATACTGTTCCAAATTGTGTCTGATTTTCTTTTTTTTTTTTATTCAATATCCTACGATTTTCAATAAAATTATTAAATTATAACCCGTCGACATAAACGAGTATCTTTGGAACTCTCGTTTTAATTGTAAAGATATTATTAAATCTATGGATCGCCTCCATGTATCATGCACTTCTCGTTGGTTTCTGATTTTCTCTTCTTTTTTATTCAATATCCTACTACTTTTTTTTTAATTATTAAATTATAACCCGTCGACATAAAGGAGTATCTTTGGATCTCTCGTTTTTATTTTCTTAAAATTATTAAACCTATGGATCATCTCAATGTATCGTACATGTCTCTTTGGTTTCTGATTTTCTCTTTTTTTTATTCAATATCCTACTATTTTTATTAAAATTATTAAACTTATAACCCGTCGTCATAATATCGCTGGTTTTCCTGGAACGGATACTGTAAACCAGTGGTCGGCAGGTCCTAAATTATTAAACCTATGGATCATCTCAATGTATCGTACATGTCTCTTTGGTTTCTGATTTTCTATTTTTTTTTATTCAATATCCTACTATTTTTATTAAAACTATTAAACTTATAACCCGTCGTCATAGTAGCGCTGGTTTTCCTGGAACGGATACTGTAAACCAGTGGTCGGCAGGTCCCTATTCTATTCTAGGGGCATAGGAAATTTCTCTGCCCGAGCTCTGCTGCTCACACAAACACATTATAAAATGTATGAAACGTCATACTAATACTCATACAAATGCATTCAAATTATATCAGTGTATTGAGTGCCGACCACTACCGTAAACTAAACTCAAACCCATGATTGGTACAAATCATTAACATCTGCATAACGAAACCCATTGAGGCCCCAAGTGGTGATAAATTTGTGATCAACAATGTGGTGTTTATACTTTTGATAAACATGAAATTTGTTTAACAATTTATAATTGCCGCAATGATGTATTGAAATATTGCTTTAATGCTTTATTGGAATACGGTCCAGAGTCGGTCCCAGGGCGCATCAGTCAGTCGGTGAATTGTCGAATGAAGACCCCGGAGTAGCTCGACAGTCATAAAAAACACATCCATCAGAGGTATTTAAACGATTTCCATTAATGATGACAACACCAATGATGATGATAAAGTCAGATGGGGGCGTGATGGGGGAGGTGTGGCCTTAAATCAGGGGTAGAAGCTATATCTTGTTTATGATTCTGTCATGGTCGTTGCACATTCGTTTTTTTTTTTTCTTGCACAAATTTTTATAGCAAAACTTCCGGTAATCAAGACGCAGAAAACAGCTGTTGTTGTCTTTTGCATTCGCAATTCCAACGAAGTATCTCTGTTTTTTTTTTATGTGTATTTTATTTTTTTTTGTTTGGATTTTATGATACTCTGGACCAGGGTGTTGTAGTTTTGTCAGAGAGTCTAGGAAAAAGTGAAGATGAGTTCTCTGGAGGGGTATTATTTGGTATTAAAGTGTGACCGTTTCTTTAAGTGTCCGTTTGTCCGTATGTCCGCCTGTTTTTATAGCCATAACTCTTTTCGTTTTCAAGCTACCGAGATTAAACTTTACTGATACTTTTATTTTTATTATAAGAAGTATATATGAGAAAAAAAACCAGATCGGACAATTATATCCTATATCTTAACTCGAAAAGTTTTAAGGGTATTAACGGCTTTACTTGTTCATCCAATTTTTTATAGCCATGGGCATTGGGTGGTGCATTGGACCCAGTCCAAAAGTGGCCTTGATGTTCAAACAATGAAGCCTCCAATTGCATCTTGAGATGCTCTCTATCTTGTAAATATCAAGAAATCAAGATTGCTGATGGAAATCAGAAATAGTAACAGGGTCCAAAGATGATGATGGGGGCGGGGTGGCCAGGGGTGTAGGGGAAAAGTGTGTGTGTGGAAAAGTGGGATCTCGGTACGGTAGGAAAATCTTTTGATTTATGCGCAGCAATTAATTTTTTGCGCATTTTTCCGTTCCCTGCCATGGATGTTGTCATGGTGGGGATATGTTGTTCTTGTTTTTGGTGTTGCTGTTGCCACTGCCACTGCCACTACCACTGGTGTGGTGTGGTGTGCTTTTGCCAATGACACGGATACGGACATGGAACTATGTAAAAGGCGACAAAGCATGAGGGGCACAGTGCCACCAAAACCATACAAAATTAAGAATTCATGCAGATATCTAGTGTTTAAATATTTTATTAATAAAATGTATTAATTAATTTATTATGTTTTAATTGAATTTTATATTTTATTTAAATATTTCATATTTTTTAAAAGCATTTTTAAACCACTATGCGACTGAGAACGCAGACACATATGCGGGCACAGTCTCTGCAAAAGGTGCGTTCACGCGTAGCAATGCAGGGATACAGTCGCTCCCTACGTGCCCCATGCCCCCATGCTGCCTCCTGCCGCGTCCCTCGCCCCACTATATATCCCCTTGCTACACACTCCGTCCGTTTTTGTCATTCTCCGGACGGAGAAAGTCTGCGAAATTCCATGCCACAGTCCGGGTTCCTGAAGTTTTTGCGGCCGAAAAATGGGCAACGTTTTGGAATTTTAGTTCCGCTTTGTTGCTGTTTGCCCCGCGCCTCTCTCCCCGCCGCCGTTTGGGGCATACCCCCTCCCGCCCTTGTGTGGCAGCCCCCTCCTTTTGTGGTTGTTGTCAGGCTAAGTGTTTGTTATGATTTATATTGGTTTTATTAAATGTTTCAACAACCTTTCGGCCAAAAAATTATTTACTGCAGTCCATGCCAGCCACGCATGGGTGCACGCAAAAATTAGGGGGGCGGGGCTGTCACGGGAGGAGGGGAGGTGGGTCACAGGATGGCCAGACACTCGAGAAGTGGTGGCCGGGGAGGTTGGAGATGGCAGACATTAAAGCTGCGATGCGGCAGGTGCCGCAATGCCATGCAACAGTGCGG